GCGGGGGGGGTCCCGGCAGGCGTGACAGCTTCGCGGCTGTCGGCTCCAAGGGGCCGTTCGAGAGCCTCCGGGACCGGCAGAACTCGCCCCCTTCCCGGGCAGAGGGGTGCAGCTTCAGGGCTGCTTACACGGCTGTCTCTTCTAAACATCTCCGTGCCCTATCGCTTCCGTTGTGGCCCCAGGAGACTGCCTGACGCTACGAAAAGGGACCGTTATTGCTATTTCTTAGGGTCGCTGGCCCTGCTGGTAGGCTGCCTAGGCGTGCTGCACATGAGCGCAAGGAAGCAGTCCCTCCTCCGAAGCGGGAAGGTTTAAGGCTCTCCAAGAGAGAGCTGCACTGATGTCCGCGGCGATTTTACAGCGCTTGTATTCCCCTGCCTGCGCCCTGTCTCCTCCGGCCCCTTCACCCAGCTGCTGGAGCGCCTGGAAGCCCCCACTTCCCTCCTGGTACTTGTCGCTGATGGTTCCTGACCTCCTGGTTTCTGGGGGAAGGTGAAGGCGAAGCAAGCGTACCCTAAGCCTAGGAATCAAGCGGCCAAAAAAAAGTCCGTTAAAGCCCGTCTGCTGCCAGGGTTAGAGATGTCGGAGGTTTGCAGGGCTGCCGGGGATGAAGCGCAGGAGGGGAGAAGCCAGCCTGGCTGGCGGGAGGGACGTGGGCTGCTTCGAGCCCAGGCTGAGCGGGACCGTGGGTGAGGGCCGGCCGCCAGGGGAGAGACGTTTCCTTCTCGGAAATGATGTTACCGGCTGTACTTCAGCCACAGCGCCGTGATTCAGGTATCAGGTTCAACGCTCTGCCTCCAGGGCGCTCCCCAGCCAGCGAGCTCTTGGGACTTACCCTGCTCTTTCTGCTCCCTGACTGGTTTCAAACTCCTCCTTTTACCAAGCGACAAACCGGGGGAAAGTCTGGCTCAATTCACCCAGGATGTCTACTCCTTTTCTGTATGGGAGAGCTGCCTACCATCTCAGGCGTTCGGCTGCTCAGGAGCCACGGCTCCTGTGCTCTGCCTGCTAATCTGCTGCTGCAGTGGTGCAGCGCGTGGCTTTTTAGCCCTTTTAGTAGTCCAGATACATTACGTTTCCAGCTTCCAGCCTCAGCATCGACTCCACGTTTCCAGACTAGCTGGCAGGCACCCGAGGCTCTGTTTTGCGATTGCAGTGATCATTTGTTGATTTTGGACATTCAGCCAGCTCTGAGGCTGATTGACACAGAGGGAAATCCGATTCTGAATCCTTGAGCGCTCCTGAAATCCACCAGCACCATTCAAATGCCTCCAGAAAAATTTAACTCTATATATTTATTGTCATGTAACTAGTCTTACTTTAAAAATCCAAAAAATAGGGAGGACCTAACATATGCATAACCTTGGGCCGCATTGAAGTTCAGATCGTTCTCTGGGTAGGTTGATGGAGGTCTGCGTATGCCGTTAGAAGCAACATCTCATGGTCTGCAGATGTGAGCAAGCTGGATGAACGTTCACTGAGAAGGAATTTATCTGCATCACAAAGATGCTCCTTCTCATCCCCGCTCCTTGATTGCCAGAACTTCTAGGAAACGTAATTGCATTGTCCTTCCCGACCCTGCAGGTAGCTGGAGGAGGTAGCCAGTGATGAACCCCGCCAGAAGAAGCGTCCAGAGTGTAGGCAATGTAAAATAAGAAGTTACTAAGTTTGGTGGCTTAGCTGGCTCCCTGCAAGTCCCTGCCTGTGAGTCACCAGTACGTAGGCCACCAGCACTGCCTCCCCTCTGGAGAAAGGAGCGGAGGTGGAAAAATAACAAGAGGAAAACAGTTGTTAGTAGTGCCAGCTATGGGGAGAGTGGGAGGAGGTGGCAGGCCTGGCGGTGAAAGGTCAGGTTTGCGTTGCAGGCTGGTGCCTGCTTCTTGCTCACACCTTCATGAACACAGTCGCTGATAACGTGCAGAGGGCCTGGGCCAGAGCTGATCTGGGGGATGGTCTCCGTGGGGGAACGCAAGCCTCCGATGGCAGCAAGGCGGGATGGAGCAGCGTAAGGGCTGCTGTAAGGTGTCCGTCCTTCTGTACGCGTTCCCTCCTCACGCCTCTCTCTTGGTTGCTCTGGCCTGGTTGCTCCTCTCACTTCTGCTGGGCTAAGCTTGAGTACCACTGTTGAAAACAACTTTTAGCCCAGTGAAAACATTGTAGAAGAAGCTATGTTTTGCAGATGTACTTGGAATGTGCCCATCCTACCCTCTGTGGGTGAACACCAGTGCAAAGCATTTGTTCCCCAGTCCCTGTCACCATCTTAGATGGAGGGCATCGATCATAAGCTCACCTGCAGCTAGCCCAGAGGTTTTTCTCATGCTTCTTCTTTATGCTGGTCCTTGGGTACAGCTGTTGCAGAGGGAGAGTGAGAAACGCTCGATTGTGAGTGAGTGACCGTATTTCTTGTCCAAAGCAAATGCAATAAAAATATTGCTGCAAAAAAAAGGTTGCACCTCCTTGGCTTCTTCTAGTGCCGCAACTCACCTGCTCGGCTGGCAGGAAGTCAGTACCAGCCCCATGGAGCTAAGCCGGTGGTGAGCACAGGCCTTGCCTGTAGTTTCCACGTTCATGCCCTCTGCACAGAGCAGGCGGGCAAGGCAGTGCCACACTGGCTCCTCAAGTGTCTTAGAGATACCTGCTGCTGACCACTGCGGTCCCTTCTCCCCTAACAGCCTTTACCTTGCAAGAAGCGTTTTTACCTTGCAAGGAGCGTTGCCACCAGTTGCCACTGTTTTTTCTTTCCTCCTTAGGAGCAGGACTGGGAAGCAGCTCCGCTAGGCATAGGCACTGATTGCTGGGAAGATGGTACTTGCTCCTGGGCCCTGCCACTGAGGGTCAGGCTTGAGGAGAGCCTTATTATGAATGCACAGAGCCGGCTGTCTCCCTGGAGGCAGGCAGTCATTCTCAATAAGCTAAAGAGTATTTTTAATGACCTTCCTCGTGTCTTTAAGAAAATTATAATGGCTATCAGGGCAAAAAAGCCACAGTCAGGTAAGATACCAAGTCAAGCGGGAAATTTCCGTGTATCTTAATGTTATTCCCTGCAGATCTCCCCTCTGCCTGTCGGGGACCAAGCGCTCCCGGTTTTTAGCCAGGAGCCAGCCCATGGTGCCGGATCTGTTATGCTCAGGCTCCCTCTAGTGCCTCGACTTTCTCGCGAGCCTGCTTCTCTGGGAGGCTGGGGAGAGCTGGGGCCTGTCCGTTTGTCCCTGAGGACCGTCCACTGCTCCCGCTCCCCTCCCGCGTGGCTAGCTAGGGCTTACAGCGTAGCTGAGCCTATTTGCCGCCGAGCTGGGCCACCTCTAAAAGTGCCCCAAAGCCATCGTATGCTGCCAGCGCGGGGCTCTCTCAGGGCACTGCTCTCTCCGGGGGAAAGGGGAGCGACCAAGGCGGCCTGTGCTCCGGCGAGGCCCCTCACCAGGCGCGCCGTGCCGTGCCGTAGGTGCAAGGCTGCCTCTTGCAGCTCCGCTTCGCGGACACCGGTGGCCTCTGCGTGGAAGGAGGAGAGAAAGCAGGGGGATGGCAAGTGCCTGAGCTACTCTGCGTGCAGCCCTCTTTGCGGCCCGGCTGTGCCAGCCAGAAGGGCCACTGCGATTCCCCCGCTGCCCGACAGCTCTCCCGAGAGAGCGAGTGGTGCACGGGGGCATCCCACCGTCCACGTCAAGCGAAGTCAGCCGGGCTACTTCTAATCAACGACCGATCGTGTGCTAGAAAGCAGGTAGCGTTACCCCTGTTTCAGTAGAGGACAGGTTATCTGAAATGACCTTGTATTTGCTATAGGGTAGAGCACACCCTCAGAAACTGCCTAGTTTCACTCTTCTCGCTGGCTGCACTTTTAACAACCCAAATCTTCCTTGAGCTCCGCGCTGTGTCGTCGCTTCTCCTGCGCAGAACGGCTGGGAAGCAGCCTGGAGAC